TGACAATGTTCTCGTCATTTTGAATAAAATTCACTTATTTTTGTTTACGGCAAGTTCATGGCTTCTTCTCCCCTCATTTATTTATTTCCGGCGTTTGACCATTTTGGGGTGATGTTATTGCGAAAAACACATTGACGTCAGTTGTTTATACGTCTGTCCTCTTATTGACGATAAATTTCGTCATAACATTGTCAAAGTTTATTGCGGAACTACTCACCTGCGGCTCGTGGTTCCACAGCCACTTTGACAATGTTATGACGCAATTTATCATCAATAAGAGGACAGACGCACAAAAAACAATTTGTTAACTTGATTTCTTGATTCCAATTTACGATTGCACTAAAAAGTCGTGAGGGGTAAACTGACAACTCTAGTGAAGGGGTTTCCATTAAATAGCAAATTCTCTTTCCTGAAATTGCTACACGCAAATGTGATAAGAACTAGAAGTGATCTGGAATTCTTGAACTCTTGAATAGACTGATTATTCGCGTTACGACTGGATACCATCTCTGAAATATCTTGAGACGGATTACCCTAAGAATAGGGCCTATATGGGGGATTAACTCTCTTACTCTTCATGCTCTCTTGGTCCGCTTTTTCGCGATTCGTGCGATATCTGTTAATTGCTTTTCGCATGAAATTTAAAGTGGAATTCACGAGTCAGGCAATGAATTTTCCTATAGAATTCTGGAGGATAAGTAGGCGAATGCCAAACTCAATCGACTCAAAAACGCGAGTAAACGTAGAAAAGGGGTTTTCTATTTACAGTAAAAGTTTCTTGTCGAAAATGAATACGAAGAAAAACGTATCTTTTGCCACTTTGTTTCTTTTTATAATAAAGTTTCCATATAACGCGCGCTCTGATTGGCTGAAACAGCATGCTTTATCAGAGAACAGAGCACGGGTTGATGACAGTAAGCTTGCTTTCAAATTTTGACAAATTTGGCCCAAATAAACATCCCCTGTGATTCAGACAAACGCAATGGAAACGAGCTCTATCTCTACAGTAAATATGGCTCATGGAGACCATTGTTAGCAACGGTAGTGTGAAAACTGTACTAAAATGACAAGTTTTGCTAGATTCCCGCCGAAAAAACACGTAGCGAAATAAACAAATTCTCAAACTAATCAGTGCTACGATAAAAGACAACGAAGGCAGAAATTATACTTAAGAAGTAAAACAACGACAGAAAACAACAATTGAGCTGTCTCTGTTTATGATAAGAAGCTTTATTTTTGTAAAAACGTTCAATTGCTCAAAACAACACTTACATGCAGTGTAGTAACGCTCGCTTGTTCTCTGGTCTTCTCTAACTATCTTCTGCCATTAATCGGTGCGCCATTTTGAAAACAGGATTTCCCAGTCGTCTTCTCCCTTTCTCCCTTCCCATCATCCCCTGCTCCTCCACCTCGTACGCTTGCGTGTGCTATATGAGGACGACTGGGGACGAGTCAGGGGAAAACCGGCGGGAAACAGTTGACAGACTGACGCAGGTGCCCCAGTGCGATTTGCTCTGACAACCGAACGCACTTGATAGCCTGTGCATGGAGAGGTCTACACTGAAGTCTAGCTTATTCCTTAGTTAAGGTGAGCAAAGATTTTTCTGCCCTTTTTTAACGCCTTCTTTCCAAAACGAGCACCGCAAGAAAAGGCTCTGCTTGCATACAAGCGTTTTAATCGTGGGACATTCCATTTTTATCCGCACACCCCCTATGGAAGGCAACCTCTGACAAAGGGCCTGTTGGAATATTTTTTCAAAGAAGCCGACAAAATTTTGAACCCCTCGGATGCAAACTTCAAAGGTTCCGACAACAAAAAACTAGGGTGTCGGAATCTGCCCTTCCATAGGGGGGTGCGGATAAAAAATGGAATGTCCCATTTTCCGATGTTCTCGTTTGGAAAAGCAAAAAGACAAATAATTGCCTGATGTTTTTGTCAGTGTTTGTCAGCTTTCTTCTTTCTTTCTTCTCTTTATCACTTGATGCTTCAATCATGGTATCAAAAAACTGCCCAATCATAAATGAACACGTTATCATTTTCGTGACACAACAGGTTACCATAGCAACAGTGTGACCTCCTAAAAACACCCTTAATTTCAGCTTTAGGGGCTTATAATTGAAAAACGGCACGGTGAAATTTTTTTATATTATCAACTTTTGATAAGCATGATAAGATGCAACTTTTGGCAAAGTTTAAAAAAATTCTGTTGGTAGGGTTCAGAGCCACCTTAAATTTTTGAAAATTTGATACCTTTGTACTCTTTGATGTTTTCATGGTAACTAATAATTATTTCAACTTCATTGGATCTGACTTAGCTTGCTGATAAATCTTCTACAAGTTTACGCTAAACTTTTCTCAGCTGCAACATCAGGCCTATTGTAATAGATCTGCCAAGGTGGGAAAGTCTTAAGTTCTGTAAGTCACCTTAAGGGTGGGTGGTAACAGTTTTCAGCGTTTTTGTTCGTGATCAATTGATCCCAAAACAATAGAATCGAACAGCTGCTAAATCATCAGTAAACAAGAAGGATACAGTTGACTTGAGATTAACAAACTCTTCTTTTGTTAACAGGCTTACAAGCCACTGAAATGTGATGTGACAAAACAATAAAACAAAACAAAAAATGAAAACAAAAATTGAAACATACAAGTGAAATGAACCTTGAAAAATTTTAATAACAAAATAATGTCGCGCTTAATAATGTACATTCATTATATAAACAGGAAATATATATTACCCAATGAAAAATAGATCTATATTTTCAAACATTGAAGTATAATCTATAATTACATCAAATATACATTTCTCGAGTATTTCTGACCCAGTTCCAATCTAGTTCAAAGTCATGTCCATTGATAATGCTGAAATAACCGTAAATGCCCAAGAATCTTCTTGATCCAATATTTGCTTTTAAAAGTAACATAAACATATTTACCCAGTCATTGACATTAGCTATGGGGATAAAGCAAACTAGGTGAAATATTGATTTACCATCAACATATCTCCAAAGACTTTCCGACAAAACCTTTTTTCTTGGGCTAAAAAGGGTTATGCAGCACCTTCCACATTTACAATGGATCTTACAATAAATTAAAAAATGGCAAAAATTTTACAGCTAGCATACAAATTTAACAGTCTCCTGTACTGTCTGTAGTAAGCAAGTCATCCTTCATAAGCATCCTTTAAGCTTGTGCACACAACTTATTTTTCATTTAAAATTTCTAGGTGTAGAAATACTGATATTTGCAAACCACTGAGATACCTTAAGAATCTCTTGACTTTTTTATTTTTTTCCTACTAAATATAACAGTGCTTATTGAATATTTCCAACACAATTTGTCTCAGACCTTGTTTTCAAAATGCTGAGGCATCAAAACCAAAAAAAAAACTGTAAATTTCTTGAGATTCATAAGATAGTCACCATTTCTTCACCTCTATTAATTCTCTGTTTAATACAAAATGAACTAAACATTACTTAATGTACGTAACTCAATAACATCAAGTCTTTTAAGTCAACTGGAACTCTTCAAGCTCCAAGGGTGATGAAAGTCAATCCCCTCGCAGTATTGATGAGTTTGAATAAAATCAATAACCTTAAATAGCATCTAACTTTTTATTGATTTGCCACCAATTCTCAGAACCAACATTAAAGTTAAAAAATATGTGGCAATCAGAAAGGTGAACTCATTGTTTTGAACCCTTGGGACAGAAAAAGTTACATTTGACCAGAATTTTAATCATCTTGATGCTTCTATTTAAACTTGAAGTGCTTCATAAGAAAGAAACTGTCTTTTTGTAAAGAACAAAAGTCAGTTTAAAGCATCTTTAAGAGCAATAGAAGAATAAATTAAACCTAAGATGCCTGCACCTATCCCAAATAACACTATAAACATCTCTAAAACTTTGCTACACCACCTTAATTTATTCCATTTGAGTTGCAAATGGAAGAGACAAGGAAAAATCAAAGTTATGCAAGCTCCAAACAAACTTCCAAATATGCTCATAAGAAGTCCAAAATGAGGGACAGCCAAAGCAATACCTAATGTAGAAAGGACCAGAGTGGTACGTGTTGCCAAAACCCACAGGTAATTATAACGCTTATCCTTGTAGAAGATTGGAAACTTTGGTAACAGAACTATATCTAAAGTCCCACCTACAACAAACATGTTGAGAGGGTATGAAAAGTACACATTTACAATAACCAGGAATGTTGCTATTTTACTTAAGATGGAACCATGTGAAGAACTAAGATTTAAGATTGCAATCGACTGAGTGCTGCTTCCAAAGGTAAGGCACCCAAAGAGCCCCACCAAAAATTTTATTGTTGTTACAGAACTAAATGCTCCATGGGAGACCTTTTTGTATTTTTTGGGTTCCTGCATAGAGCCCTCAATACCAGGAAATACTGTATGGCCACAGTATGAAAACAAAATGATGCCCAGACTTATGGGAAATTTGTTTAGATTAAAGGAGGGGATGTTCTGCACAGCCCAGGAGTTTGATCCTCCTAAATAAAAGCCTAACAGAATAAAAACTATGATAAATACTGCCAAAACTGCTAGCATACTTAACCAGGCCATAATTGACAGTCGCTTGATAAAAACTGTGGGAAGCATGGCTAGCGCACACAGCAAGCACCATTCTTGAATGGACAGCACAACCAGGTTACTGAACAGGTCCATCATACTGCTCCCCATCATCATCACCATTAGCACACAGCAGCAGTAGGAGAGCCCCACAGTGATGAAATCAACAAGCCGACCACCCATTGGCCCCCAAACGTCCGCGGCAATCTCGGCAAAGCTCGCCCTTACTCGTTTGCGAAGCCGGCTCTTCGGGGAAATTTCGTAGAGGCAGTCCACCAGTAGCACTGATGTGATGTCGTCGAAGAATCCGATCGCCAGAATGAGAAACAAGGCGGCGAAACCTCCAAGAGAGACTGCATAAGGCATCGCTACAACGCTACTGCTAGCCAGAATCATGTTGACAATGTTCCACAAAGCAAGTATGGTCGATGCTTGGCCATCTTCTGATAACTTCTCGAACAAAGTCACTGTTGTGCTTTTCGATTTCGAACTTTCGCCGTTTTGTCCACTTCTGTCGGGAATTGAGATCGCTACAGATCGTTGATTTAGAGACCTTGAGATTGACACTACACTAGAATATAACGAGAACTGGAACGAAGGAATGAATAGAGATGTTTGACTTGTTGTGAAAGTTGTTGTGAAACTTTTACTGTTGTGCGTGAAGAAGCTGGAACCACTTTTCTCAAACGTCTCGTTCGAACGAATTAGAGGAGTGTTTTCGTTTGGTTCGCATTCGTCCTCAGCTTCCTCTAAAAGATCTTGTTCTTCTTCGATCTGTTCTTTCGTCAACGGCAAGCCTTCGATAATTGTCACCAAATCGGGTTCTTTTATCACTGTGCTCGCCAAAATTCCTGAGCTTGTAGTACACGGGAGCGTTGAAAGTGGAAACGTGTTCGTCTCCAAGCTGTCCTTTTCCATTTCTTTGTTTTCTGACTCGATCTTAACCGCCTTGCCTCTCGTAAGGATACAGTGAACGGTCTTTATGAAGAACGTAGAGCAAAAACGCAAGTCGTTTCTGTGGAAAGCTTCCACTGGGAATGCAGGAAAATGCGGCGCTCATCGGTCTGGTTTAGTCCACGTTAACCACGTCAGACTGGTTTAGCCAAGTTTTCGTTTCTCGCTTAATTCAAGTTTCGCGCCTGCATTTTCGCACGTTGTTCCGGTAAAAACATGAATAAATTGCCAAGTGAAGGTGTTTACAGTTTTTTCTTCTTCAAGCTCTAGTAACAAAGACTTACAAGTTGTATGGAAAAGTAGTAACTGCGATCAATATTTGAAATTGTTATGATCGAGCGTCCATGCGTGCCTGAAAGTCACGCAATACCATAACGGGAGCACGTGTAGCGCAGAGAAAACCCCCAAATTCAATTAGGCCAAAACCCGAGGCAAAAGCAACATTTTGTTAGAAAGTAACAGCAAATCAAGTCAGTGGAAAACTGAACAAACTAGGGTATGAATATTTTCGAAAACCAAAAATATTTCAAGAAAAGAAACTGAGATTTCGGATTTCTTTGAACTCGTCTAATTTTAGACGAAATTGCGCAAAATCACGCGCCAGTTGGCCTGAACCAGTGAAACGGGATGTTCTCATTGAAGACACGGCGCGGGAAGTACTACTGCGTCCGTTAAACCTCTTTCTCAAGCCCTATTGTTCTGGTTTTATTATTTAAAACGAGTTTTGTTTTGTTTGGTCCTTAGTCACGTCCGCTGTTTGAAATCACAAATGCATCACACAAGATACTTCCGCTTGTTCTGGTGAGGGGTGGGGGTGCGGTGTCAAAAAGGAAATTTTGAACAAGACATATCAAGTCTAAAAATTACTCCTAAAAATACCCAAGTCACGAAAAGTTCACTGCTCCCCTTTCAAAATATGGGAAAAGGTTTCAATGTTATAAAATCAGTTTTTTTTCCACTCCAGAGACCCCTTTCTTCTACAGCTAATTGTATGTCACATCAGCCTGTTTACTTTATACTGACAGCTGTTTAAACTGAAATGATTCTGTTTCAATATCTCCTGTAACTGGATTGAAAGTGCTGCTTATGACCCGAAATGAATCAATTAATAACGTCTTCCAAATCTACTAGTGGGCTTGCTTTCTCACTAAATTATCCAATGATGTGAAACTGAATGTCAAGGAGCTGTAAGACTGGCCAAGGAAAATATTAAGATACTTTTATACCAAACACCCTGAAATCTATTTTTCAGTTGTCATGGATTTTCATAATAAAAGGTACCAACTGTAAGAAAACAAGATGACAAGTAAAAAGATTTAAATCCACTGGGTAGTCGATTTGAGGCAAAGTTGGAATTTTGGGCACAATATTAAGGTTGTTCTCTTTTAGTCACACAGCATATTGCCAGCTGAGTAAAAATGCTTCCAAATCTCATAACAAAAAAAATATGTCCAGCAGGTATAAAATTTTGCAAACAACCCCGACCAGAGATAAATGAGAATGATACAATTAGTGTTTCTCATGATCAGGTATTGTATATTTCACCAATGTTAAACCTTGTAGTGTTTTGTGTATGCTTTCACATTTGGGGACAACACTTCTCAAAATATCTGTATGCACCTGACTCCTCTACAGGCTCCTTTACTTTATAAAATACTGTAAAAAAAGTGAGGATTATGTGGAGGCTGCATGGCGGAGTGGTTTAGGGCACTGAATTTGAAATCTGGAGGTCCCTGGTTCAAATCCTCTGCCCTACCACTATCTGGATTGGTTCTCGGTAGCCCTGAGTTCAACTCCTTGACTGTGTTGTGTAAATAGCGAACTGGTTAGCATCCAGCAAGTTGGGATTCCTAATAGTATATGTTTTATTTGAAATATTTGTTTATTTATTTACAGTGTCCCCAGTTAGCACATTTAATAGTGCTAAATACATTTGACACTTCAATAAAAAGTTCATTTATTGGGATACAAATATTATTCACTCTGATAACACTACTTGTCTACAATAAAACTATTCTCACTCACAACTAGCATAATTTACATTACTCATTAAATTAATCTGTCACTGTTCCATATTATTCTTAAAATTATTGTTCGTCTTCACAAAGAAATCTAGGAAAGACCCATTTTCATTGTGCATGCTTGCACCCATTTGCTTTGGTTTCAAAACATCTTTTCACTACCTCGACGATTGATCTGCCAGGTTAAATAATCTAATCCCACTTGTGCACTCAACACAAAATGATTCCAGGAGTTTTGAAACTATAACATTCAATTTTGACTTCAAGTCATTGTTCAACGACTGGGCCGCCATTGTGTGAGTAACAGTACATTTCTCAAACATGAAAAATATTCCTATGTGCAAAATACATTACAAGATGAAAATCACCTTTTAATGCTAGAGACAAACCATGTGTAGATGCAATAAATTTACACAACACTGGAAAATATATATTTTCTTACAAAATCTTCACTCTAAAATGCTATAAATGATTGCATACTATAAATATGTCCTTCAATATGTATACCTTTGACTTTACTGGCAATCCTATAGCCTATTATTACTTACAACAAGTATTACTTAACACGAACAAAAACATAATTCAATACTTAAAATCAGACTAAACTAATATGATCAGAACACACTTGCTTGAACCGTTTTAGAACAAGGAAAGCCACAAAACACTATTACTTGCCTCATGGACCCTAGACTATAAACTTATTTTGATCAGTTTATTCGGTAAAAGGATTATACAGATACCCAAGCTGTAATTAAACTTGATATAGAGTCTTGTGCCCTCAAAGACAGGCCACCAATATTTCCTTTGAAAAATTCAGTTATTAGGAAAACTAGATTTTCCTTAGATGATCTGTAAATTCACCTGTTAATGGTCAGAATGGTTGCAGTTCAACATTTGACAATAACACTGTACATACAACATGTTTATACTGTATTGAAAACAAGCAAAGTTCAGATTTGTCCAATTCTTATGTAATTGCCAAGTTTAAATTCCCTGCATTGCAAGCAAGGGGGATGATATTATTATTTCACACAATAATTATTACGGTTAAAGGTTCGCGATAGATTTAGGTCAGACATAAATGAACTTGAGGGGTAAAAAGTTAAAGTAATAATCTTAATCAAACTGAAAGCCATGAATGATGTGATTATAAAACAGAAATGGCTTCAAAATTGGATTTCAGTCCACTTTACAAATGCATCTGCATATTTGAGGTAATCAAATCACATTACTAGAAAGTATGAAAAGAGTCCACAAGAGCTTTCCCTGAATACACAAAGCCAAGGCCTCCAGCGATAATCCCAAATACAATAAGAACAATCTCGCCTGTAATGTGATACCAGCGTAGGAACTTCCATCGTAGCTTCATGTGGGCTACGCATGGAAACGTGAAGGAAAGACATGTTCCAGTAAAACTGCCAACGAAACCCATCAACAGACCAAAGTGTGGTACGACAAGGGCAATAAAAAGTGCAAAGGTTACAAGTAATGTTCTTGTTAGCAATAACCAATACCAGTAATGTTTTCTTCCTTTCTGTAAATGTGGAAAATGAGGACCAAGAGTGTTGTCAAATGTTTCTACCACAACAAACAGTGGAAGAGGGAAGGAGAAAAACACATTCAATGCAACAAGTGCTGTTGCTGCTGTGTTAAATGGCACATCTTCTGCCAAGTTAACGGTGAAAACTTGATCTGTGAGCAAACCAAATGTCAGCACGGCAAAGAGGCCAAACACTGCTTTGACAACAGCTGAGATAAAGAATGACACATTCATCATTTTGTTGAATTTTTTGGGCTCCCTCATGCTACCTTCTATTCCAGGAAAAACTGCGTGAGCACAATAACTGAATGTTACAATGCCAAACCCAACAGGAAAGGTACTGATATCAAAGGATGGAATATTGTGCACTGTCCACTGATCATGGCGCACAAAACAATATGCTATCATGACTAACAGGGCAGACATAAGTGAAAACACAGCCAGCATGCTCATCCAGGCAATAAGAGACAGTCTTGTGATGAAGACACTTGGAAGCACAGCAACGGCACAGACCACAGCCCATTCATTCAATGTAAGTGGTATGTACTTGCTTGTAATCTGAGAAAACATGGTGGTTAAAAGGACCAGATACAGGACTGCTGCGGCATAGAGTTCTACTGTCTGGACGACACTAACCACCTTGCCACCAACGCCCGGCCACACCGCTTCACCTACATCAGGATATGAGTTGCGCACTCTCTTTCTCAGCTTGCTGCGGGGAGAGATCTCATACAAACACTCGACCAGTAGTATGCCAGTAACATTACAGAATATTGCCACTATAAAGATACAGAGGACTGCTACCACTCCTCCTTCTCGGACAGCATAAGGCACACCTAGGATACCCATACCCTGGATCAGATTGGTGACATTCCAGCCGGCCAAGAACGCGGATGCTTGTCTATCCTGACACTCTTTTTCCACCAACGACACCGTAAAATGTGACATGGAAAATGAACGGAATCGTTTGAAATTCGTGTTCCATGCGGACCGCGGTACTGGCTCGTCAGGGTCCGTGGTTCGTACCAGAGGCGTTCTTTCAGTAGATTGCCATTGCTTGTTTTTGTCGACTTTTCGGAGTTCGTAGCTTGCCTCCTTCTTATCTTCATTGTCACTATCTTTCGGCGACAGGGAATCCGAAAAAACGAGTTGCGAGTCACGTTCATTGTATTCCAGTTCCTCCAGCGTGTCCGCCATTGCGGTGAAAAGCACAACCAATAAAACCACTGACACCCTTCGGAAGCAGGACAGATCGCTCAGCTGGACATCAGCTTATTTTGAATCCTGTCGCCAATTTGATTCGGCAAAATAGCAATCACAGAGAAATCAAGATATGGTAACCAACTCAACCGCAACTTAGACGACCACTAAAGATCAACAGACAAAATACCGCATATTATTTCAGCTACTGAAGACTCGTCACGCTGTAACACAATAATCAAATTTTAATTGGTTTTCACTAGTCTAGTCCCCCGCCTTCTATTTCCGTAAAAGGACTGCAACCTCCACAACAAAAGCACGTGCAATTTTTGCGAATCAACCGGAAAATCAAGACTCGCTCAATTGAAGGTAAAAGAAAAAACATTTTTTTGTGGATCGAAAATGAATTAGTCACCATATAAACGTAGACAATCGATCCATAGGTCGCGAAAAAGCCGCTTGGGCTTGTCAATGTCATGTCACGCGTTTGTGACTGTCCATGGTGAAATCTCCAATCTGATTGGTTTAACTTTGCACGATTGTCGTCTTGATCACCGTAAAAGGAGTGTGAGCAGCTACAACAAAGAACTCACATGTGATAACGAGAAGATCAGTTTTATCTTGTTTTGGGACATGAAATTACAGAGGGGCTAACCAATTTGTACACAGTTCCTGTTTGTAAAAGCTGTCTAGACCCGAGTTTAACTCATTTTCGTAGGACATTCGGGGGAAACGCTCGGAAAGTTGGAAGTTGAAAGAAAAATGGACAGTGAAACCACAGCTTCAATTCTGTCCACAAGCCCAACAAACCATGACAACAACGAAGCGATCTCATTACACAAACCATCTGTGCAGACCGTCGACGAAGATTCACCTCTGTTGTTCGCTCCAACTGACGACCATGGGGTGAGCTTCAGGAAGTCAGGCATCGCTGAGAGCATGCGAAAACTACGTAGTGCTACAATGACCGTGTCGGTCTTGGAGAAACCGTCGGACGATCGCCATGCGTCTGCTTTGCTTGCCGGGTGGAATGTGACAAATCTTATTCAGGGAACAGGCATTCTCGGTGTGCCGTATGCAGTCATGATGGGCGGCTGGGCTGCTGTAGCTGTCATTGTTATAGTAGCCGGAATCTGCTGCTACACCGGTAAGCTTCTGGTGGACTGTCTGTACGTGGAATCTAAACGGACCGGTGTGCGCAAACGAGTCCACGTAAACTACCCGGAGGTCGGCGAAGCGGCATGGCCAGGCTGGGGCAACAGAATAGTCAGCGTTGTTCAGGTGTGTGAGATGTTCGGTGGCGTTATTATGTATATCGTTCTCCTTGCCACGGTATTCAGCGACATCTTGAACGGAAAGACACCCCTGGACATTTACCAGTGGGCCGTGGTGTGTGCTTACGTTGCGTTACCAGGAATCTTTATCACCCGCGTTTCAGTGATCGCCTGGATCAGCATGATCTCTGTGTTTGCTTTGTTGTCCAGCATCGCTACCATCATCATCTACTGCATAACTGAATACCGTGACATGCACCTCTCCAACATTCCTCCCTTCGACCCGGAGAAGTTCCCCATCGGTTTTGGCATCATTGTCTTCAGTTACTGTGCACATGCTGTGTTTCCTGGCGTGGAGGGTAGCATGAGAGAACCAAAACAGTTTCCCATGATGATGAACGCTGCATTTGCTCTGGCTGCAGTGGTGAAAATGCTGCTTGGTCTGTTGTCAGTGCTCAGATTTGGCGGCGAAACTAAACAAGTCATCACAGTCAGCATGAACAACAGTCCAATCTTTAACATCGTCACCACAGCCCTTGTTGTGACCAATGTCTTCCTGGCCTTCCCTCTTTGCATGTTTGTCGTTTTAGAAACATGGGATGTTAAGATTTTACCATATTTTCCACATCTCAGCAAGGAAAGCAATTACCACTGGTTTTGGTTGCTGCTCACCCGTGTCATGCTTCTCACTTTTGCCTTGTTCCTGGCCATTATTGTGCCACACTTTGGTCTGTTAATGGGTCTGGTCGGAAGTTTCACGGGTACTTGCCTTTCTTTTGTTTTCCCCTGTGTTTTCCACATGATCTTAAAATGGGATACCACTCCTTGGTACAGCATTCTGCTTAAGATTGTGGTCGTGTTGTTTGGTTTAGTATGTGGCGGTTTTGGATTGGTGTTTTCGGGAAGAGAGCTTGCAAAGGCATTCACTTTTGGTTAAAATGACAGACATATGTTTAAAGACATATCATTTGGAAGGCAAACATTAACATTTACTTGATGAATGGGTATAACCAAAAATGTGATTATTTGTCTACATATTTTTTAATCTTCACTTGGGTAAAAACATATTTGTGTAAATATTTAATGGCATGTGTTTGACATTCCCAAAATCTCTCTGCACAAAATTGAAGGAAAGATACTGAGTTAGAGTTTGCACAATTATAAAGAATGAACTTTTTGATGACCCTGATTTATAATTTGCAATATTATGTTCAGAGACAAGTTAAGAGTAAATATCTATTAATACACCATGCTTGTCAAATGCAACATTGAAAACAGTTATTTTAAAAGTAGAGAGAAGTCCAAGAAGGGTGAAGAACCAGTTTATTTACAGATAATGGTAGATTACTAAAATTTCTGAGCATTTTCCATTATTTTTGGTTTCGAATTATGTATGGTGGTCTTGATTGCTTTCAAATTTACTGATATAAAATTTTTGAGTCACCTGGTAAAATATGTATGTGCTCCCTAACAACATGGAATAGTTACTTGGTGTTGGAAAGTTTTGCTGGCTATGTGTCGCAAAAGCAGTGGTTTTGGAAAATAAGCGTTGAATAATTTGGTTTGTAAAGGACCAGTGGACTCACCGGAGTCTTTGCTCACAAGTTATTACTAGCATGATTGTGATTATATCAGATAATGAAAATGCATATTTAAATAAAACAAAAATAAATTTATCTTGACTCGTGTGCCCTTCTTGTATATTCACAGAAATAAGCCTGAGCAACTGAAACAAAAATCAAGATTAGCCAGACTCGCTCTTGAATCATCAGGTCAGGAGAATTTTATGGTACAAATAAACTTTAAACATCCAGTGTAGGGCTGCAAATAACAGTCAGTTAACAGAAAATGGTTTAAATATAACCAAAATTTACCCATGTCTGAGGAAAATGTGGCCAATACCAAAACGCACAAGTGAGGTTATAACTCAGACAAACTCGGACAAACAAAACGAAATGGTGAAAAATTTGAAGCTCTTTCAAGCATGTAAGCAAGTGTTCCTGGAGCAATTTTTAAAACAAAAATTTGGCGTCCCTTGGCCTCCTATTTCTCTCAGAAAACACTTATGTTGTCTGACTCTTGCAAGGCTCCAATAATTTGCATTCTATTTTTAGAATTTGCGTGTTTTGTTGTTATATAAAACATCCTTGACTATATCATTTCACAGATGTAAACATGCAGCAATATATACACTCCTTCACTGGACTGCATTTTGGTATTGCCATTATGAATTTCATGTATACAGTAAACTAAAGGAAATATAAATTTCAACATTGTCTGTAGCACAAACCACTTGCCTAATGGTTGGTGTGTTGGACTCCAGATCAAGTGGTCTGGGTTCAAACCATGGCTGGGGTTACTTATGTTCTTCAGGGCAAGACATTACTCTCACAGTGCCTCTCTCCACCCAGGTGTATAAATGGGTACCGGTGAAATTAATTCTGGGGAGGATCCCTGGAATGGACTGGCATCCGATCTAGTGACTTTCCTCCTTACCTGACCACCTGCCCTTGGGTTCCTGAGGATGTGTCTGACTGTGACCAAACCAAAATATTGACTTAATGGTACCTATTTCATTTCAGGAAAAAAAAATAATTTATTGGAAATATGCAGTGGCTTGGTAGAACCCAGCTATTCCAAAAATTTGATTTAGACAGGTTTTGACTCAGCTTAGGGCTTAGAGAACATCAATTTTCACTTACTACAGAGTCACTAGAAATGTGAGTTGATAAGTTCTTCATGTCCCAACATTGAGTTTAATGCCAATGAAACAATTTCATATTTTCCACCAGGCGTCTAAAATGATTTTCCAATCCCAGCCCAAAGCTACAATATTGGACAATTTACATGAAAATTTAACACCACCCCTCCCCCCATTTCAATAATGGAAAAAAAGGCGCGTTTTGGGTTTTAATAGCAACAGTTCATCATTGATTTGGGGGGAGGGGTGGTTTTACTTCTTATTTCATTCTCACCATCGTAACTAGGCTCGATTACCAGCTCTTCTCGGGGAGGAACATAGACCGACTCGAGAAAGCGGTGGAAATTGAGCCTACATTGTAACCTGCGAACGCAGTGTTGTTATTGTTTTTCTCGAAAAACCGGATGCAAGCAGGCGCAGCGTACCGCGAGACTCACTCCCCGAGAGAAGTGTTGTGTGACGCGTGACGTCTGGATCTAATTTGTTGTTGAAACGCCGTGAAGGAACGCATAATTTTTATAAAGAGAACTTTGTAGTTTTAATGTACTCTTCTCTTGTTTTGATGAACAAATACAACGACTAGGGTTTTTTAAGATTTTGTTGTAAACAAAGGACAATGTACGAAGTGTTTGGTTCTGTGATTGGCTAGTTGGTTGGTCCTAGTTTCCCCTTGGGAAACAAGAACACGTGAAAAACACACACCAAGGATGTCTAGATGTACGTCACAAAGGCAACAACGGGTAAGAGAATCTCAAGTACGTGTTTGCCTTTTGATGCAAGAACTGTTTACAGAAATCTACACGTGGCGAACAACCTTAAAACACAGCAGGACACTGAGAACGGAAACAATCAACAATGGCGGAAAACTCCCCTCTGCTTGCAATACCAACCCCAAGAGTTAGACAACCTTGTGAAGAGATCGCTTTGGGGCCATCGGGGCCAACTGTCGTACCGTTGGGAGAGAAGGCGCCTTTGACTCGGGGCGAACCTGAAGTTGGGAAGAGCTTTCTCGGAGTAAGCTTATCAAGAATGGCACTGTCCCGTAGTTTAATGAGATTACGTTCCGCGACAATGACTATGTCCTTGATCGAAAAACCCTCCGACGATCGCAGAGCTTCAGCGTTTCTCGCCGGTTGGAATGTAACAAATCTTATCCAAGGCACGGGGATTTTGGGCATACCGTATGCTGTGAAACTGGGAGGGTGGGCCGCTGTTGTGTCTATTCTCATTTGCGGTTACCTTTGTTGTTACACTGGCAAGTTGTTGATCGAGTGTCTGTACGAAGACTCCAAGCGCACGGGTCAAAAGAAAAGAGTAAGGGTCAACTACCCGGATGTTGGCGAAGCCTTTTGGCCCGGATGGGGGAACAAGATCGTCAGCATTGTGCAGGTGTGCGAGATGTCTGGAATAGCGGTGACATACATTGTGCTAATGGCCTCTATCTTTCTTGACTTGTTTCACAACAGAACTTCCATGAATGTCTATGAATGGTCTGTGCTTGTGGGCTGTTTTGTCCTTCCTGGAATCTTTATCACTCGAGTGTCAGTAATCGCCTGGATCAGCATGATTTCAGTTTTCTCCCTGTTCTCCGCAGTCCTGACAATCATCATCTATTGTGTTACGCAGTACGACAAGATGAGTGTCCACAACATGCCAGGTTTCCAGTTGAACTCCTTCCTGGTTGGATTTGGCATCATAGTGTTCAGCTTCACAGCACACGCCGTGTTCCCAGGGGTGGAAGGAAGCATGCGATATCCTGAACAGTATCCCATGATGTTGAATGTTGCGTTTGCAAACTCGACAATCACAAAACTGATTCTGGGCCTTATGGGTGTGTTTCGATATGGACAAGAGCTTAACCAGGCCATAACCATCAACATCAAGACCAGTTCTGTCTTCTACATTCTCTCCAACACCTTTGTGATTGCCAATGTCGTCCTTGCTTTTCCTCTTGTCATGTTCGTAGTGTTGGAAACCTGGGACAACAAAATGCTTCCTCATTTTCCTCACCTGTCCAAAGAGTCAGGTTTCCATTGGTTTTGGTTGATTCTCACAAGGCCGTTGCTCCTTATTTTTGGTGTCTTCCTGGCAATCACTGTTCCTCATTTTGGTCTGGTTATGGGCCTGCTTGGCAGCCTAACAGGAACCAGCTTGTGTTTCATATTTCCTTGTGTTTTCCATCTCAAGCTGAAGTGGAAGAAGCTTAACTGGTTCCAGGTAGTTTGCAGAGTTCTTGTCACAGTGTTTGGTATTGGCTGTGGAATCCTTGGAGTGGTATTTTCTACTATTGAACTGGTAAATGCATCGAAAGGGAACATATAAATAATGATTGAAAACATATTTTTTTGTTGATATCAATTTATAGTAAATTTTTCAGGGCTTATTTTATTAATCACTCTTGAAATTTTGTTGACAAATTTTGACTGGGTTGCAAGGATAAAATAGCAAAGGGTTTATTTTTAAAACAACATTTTGGTGTGAGTTGTTACTGTAGAAAAGTGCACTTTTGTACAGGAATCATCACTCACCCAAATGGATTTTTGTAGCCTGAATCACAAAACATTTTATAAATATTATAAAATACTAAATTAGTTATCTGGTGTGAATTTATTTGCTAGACATAGATAACTGAAATTCAAGATTTCTGTTGCACTTGGATCGCAACTTAAATATGTATGTAAACCAGCTATGTTCTCAGTGTGATTTGGTGATTTTAGTGTCATTGTGAGATGACTGCAGATACTCTGGGACAACATGTGTGTTAAAATACATAGAAAGTCTAACAATATCATGCTTAAATTGCACTGAGGTTGCAGCTGGTTGCAACACAAGTGCAGCAGAAAACTCAAAGGAAATAGCAAACATTTTCTGTGTAAATGGGCCTTAAGTCTTAGTTAGCTTTCGCCATTCTTGTCCCCGGAGGCCACAATCCTTTTAGTCAGCATCAAGAAATGCAACCTCTGGCAACAGCTTATTTTTTAAAGCAGGTGCAGAGTACTCATTCTCAGTTTATTTTCAGCCAATTAGTTTTCGGCAAAATCTTTCAGTAACTGTTTATAGCAAACTTGCAAATCAGAAAAGGTCAGAGATCTTGATTCTTGGTGCCAACAAAAAGGATTACAATCTCTTGGGATGTTAAATTTGAAATGGTTTAATAGGATTTCTTTTTTGCTTTTGGGCGAACAGCTTTTCATGGTTATGAACAAAAGCCAAAATACCAATTATGTAAAACCATGCTAGAGAAAGCTAAATGTTTTTTTTTAACTATTCAGTTTAACCTCAACTGAGGGGCAAGGATTTGATTGGGCACCTTTGATATTTTACACTAAAATTTTCTAAATTTACTTGTTAGTGGTGTGGCAGTGCCACATGTACATACAATATTTGCAATAATGCCAAAATGTATGTAACCATATTTTTCAACTGTCATTTCATGTACAACAACTATTTGCAGGCATTTTAAGCATGTATCAGTCTGCTGGGAATATAATTAATTTAAGTGTTAAAGTTTCATGTCATCCATAAGAACTTGGTGCTTTCACTTACAGCCCCTTTTTTTCATACTCATTTTGTCACATGATGTTTCAAT